TAATTTTTTATTTTTTTTTCTCCTCCATAAGGTGAATAATTTAATATGTTTGTTCTTCCGTTTGCAATACTTCAAAATAATCGTTCAAAGTATTGTTATTGTTATAATCTGAGCCTTATGGCTAATGAGGGTATATACACTTTGATGCGGTGAAACCAATTCATCGGAATATTGGTTTTAGTTATAATATCATGCGAACTGGTTATCCGATTTGAAGCAAATTTTGCACAACCTATTACCATTACCAATTATAGATAAAGTCCGAAGACCAGAAGGAGTGGACCAATGGGTCCCTCTTTCATCCAACTCTAATGATTTGGAGTCAATTTACAAATATCTATCCGTGTGTCTGTCTTGCCGAGGCGCACGAAAACTCTCGAAAGGAGTAACCGATTTCATACAGACTTTGGACATCGTAATATTTTTTTAATTTAAGGGGACCCCCCATTCTAGGTGTAAATTTTTTTTTTGATTTAATTCGAATCTAATCTAATTCCAGAATGTCCCTACAAAATTTCAAGTGAAAATCTCAAGAATTCTAGAAGATATAGACGATTTATTGTGTTAGCATCAAGTGATGGCAAGGGTGATTCTCAAACGTTAAACGCATTTTTCTCGAAGCAGAGTTTTGCGAATGGCGGGCACGATAACTCAAAAACTAATAATCCAATCGGTCCCAAATTTTGACACGTTTCTCTGGGCCTGTATAGCTCTCGTTTGAACTAGGATATATTTTATATATATTTTATTAGTTCTCGTATATATTTTATTAGTTCCCCGACAAATATATGGATGGTATGATATTCTCTACAACAAACCTCTTATTGGCAAGTCATTTCTAACTAATTATTTCCTAATGATTTTTATCCCGACTACTTGTCGGCAAAATTCCTATTGAGGGCACTGAATTTCAATTTGTTCAAATTTTATCAGCCCCTTGTAACTATGAAAGAAAAAACCGAAAGTATTTCTAGAACTACGGAAGTACTTCTATTTGTGAGTGCTTTTTAGACCAGGTGGTAATCACGCATCTACTTGAATTGTGCGATGTCACTATCATATCTGCCGAGTAGTACTTTTTGTTGGTTTTTATTTTATTAAAGAAGATTAAGAAGTTATTTTTAAGTATTCGCCAATTGAAGTTTATGACGTTTTTTTTGTTGAAATACTTTCGCTTTCGGTATTTTTTTCGTAATGACTCATTTTAATTAAGTTTAGACAATATTGAACGATAATCTTACAGTTAAATTAAATTGTTCGTGATAATGAAATTGATATTTTTATACATTTTTCCATGAGACATTATGCTGCACGTTTTTTTTTCAAGCGATGACGTTATAGTTGGGCCGACTAGACGGTGAAACCCCTTTTTAATCAATTAAATTTTAATTTCGTTTTTACAATTCTTTCTGTGAAATTCTAAAATTATGCATAAATATTGGGTAAATTAAGTGATAAGATTGTGAGAGGGGATTTATGTTTAAAAATACTTGGAATAATTGTTTCAAGATTTCACAGGTCAAGATTTTGTTTTCTTGATATGAGTTATTGGTATTGATTTATTGTTCGGGGTTCTGCCAATGTTAATGGTGACAGGTGCAAACTGGGAGGGTAATGAGTAATTTTAATTGTAGACTGGACTATATCCATAGTTATGTTTTCTATATTTTCGAAAATACAATTTTTTATTGTACTCTTTAATTTTGGTTTATAAAATCGAATGGATTTTTAGTGTACTTAGATTTTGTTTGCTAGATTTTCAAATATATACTATATTTGCTGATATTAAAATCATTCTAATCTTTCAAATATTTAAAACATTATCATTGCTGATTAGATTATTAGGTTGCGATTAACAGGTGCTAGTTATGAGGATCGCGATGGCTGCGACAACATCAATGCATTGTATAGAGGGAAAACATACGAGATCAATATGAAAAAAAATTGTTTATTTCAATGTTGTGTTTTTTTCCACAATTTTTAATTTATTCATCTTTTTCACTTCAAAGCGATCGTTTTCCCAAAAAAACTTCTTAGACAATTGTCTTTGGTAATCTCCTGCTTCGATTTTTCTTTTATCACACAACCAGACTTTCAGGCGTGGATTTTTTAAGGACTTGCAGATTAGTAGGCGTGGATTTTTTTAAGGACTTTCAGATTAGTAGACGTGGATTTTTTAAGGACTTTAAGATTAGTAGGCGTGGATTTTTTTAAGGACTTTCAGATTAGTAGACGTGGATTTTTTTAAGGACTTTCAGATTAGTAGCCGTGGATTTTTTTAAGGACTTTCAGATTAGTAGGCGTGGATTTTTTTAAGGACTTTCAGATTAGTAGACGTGGATTTTTTTAAGGACTTTCAGGTTAGTAGACGTGGATTTTTTTAATGACTTTCAGATTAGTAGACGTGGATTTTTTAAGGACTTTCAGATTAGTTGGCGTGGATTTGCAAATATGTTTACCTTATCTTGATTATGTCTAAGATGGAACCCGCCGATTCACTCTCATTGGTACCTCTCAATAAAAAAAAACTGTGGCTGAGGGTATATACACTTATTTGCTTGTTTAATATTTAGATCAATATGCGTGGATTTGTTAGCTTGCTTGTGAAAGAACGGTTGTTCCATAAGCCGAGCTTAAAAAAGATTTCCAAGCGCGCCAGTCTTGTGCGCATCTCATCCAATTTGAAGGACCATGTCCCGAGCTGTTGTCTTCCACTTGATCTTTCCATCGAATTCTTCATTTGGCTCGCTTTTATATGCCTTTTGAGTGATCCTCATCCATTCTCACAACATGACCTAGCCAACGTATTTGCTGCAGCTCGATCCGTTTGACTATGTCGATGTTCGAGAATAGATAGTATAGCTCATGGTTCATTCGACGCCGATATTCACCGTCGATGCAGATCGGCCCGTAGATCTTTCGGAGAATTTTTCTCTCAAACACCTCAAGAGCTGCCTCATCTGCTTGCGCAAGTATCCATTCTTCAGATATATACAACATATAACAGCACGGGTAATATTAGCGTTGGTGACCTTGCTTTTGAATTGCTTACACAGACCATAGTGGCATCTGTTGGCATTCAAAGCTGATGTTAATAGTTTTGTTTATGGCGGTACCGAGGTGTATAAAGTCGTTCACTACCTCGAATCTATTGTTCTCAAGTTCCTCAGTTGGTCCGAGTCTACTGGACGTCTTGCGCGTTGATATCATCAGCTTAATTTTGCAGGAATGCCAAGAGCAGACATTCGAATAAACACCTCTGAACGGATAGGGCTGTCGAATGCGGCTTTACAGTCGACGAATAGGTGGAATGTGTCGATGTGTTTTTCGTGGGCCTTTTCCCGTATTTGGTATAGAGGGAAAATGTGGTCAATGGTGGATTTGCCAGGCCTGAAGGTGCATTGGTATGGTCCAATAATATCATTGACCCTAGGCTTCAGTCGATCACACAGCACGCTGGATAGCACTTTATATGCGATGGGAAGGAGACTATGGTTGGCAAATATCGTCTTGTCTTCTTTTTTGTACATGGGACACAGGATGCTGAGGTTCCAATTATTTGGCATGCATTTCTCTAGCCAAATTGTTCTAATCAGCTGATGCATGTACCTGACCATCGGTCTTGAATAGTACGGCTGGTAATCCATCGGCACATACTGCTTTATTATTCTTCAGCCGATTAATTTCTATTCTGACCTCATCTTGGCTATGTGGTATATACAATCTATACCGTTATCTCTAATTTATTCTTGATTGATTCTGGGGCATCTTCTTCATAGCTACTATTTAATACCAGAAGCTTATCAAAATGCAAAATGCTCCTTCTCCTTTTCAACACGCTGCCTGTATCTGTCACCAGGTTTTCTTCTTCACCTCGACAGGAAGATGTACCTGTACCAAAGCCTTCGGTAAAATTTCCGGACTTCATTCTGACTCCTGTATATCCCGATTTGCTCACGCTCACGGTTTTCTTTCTACTTCTTTTTTTCTGAAAATACGTTTCTCGTTTTCTCGCGATAATTATCCATTACGTGTTGCTACTGTCTGCACTGTTGCCCTATACGCTGCGTTTTCCACATCAGTTGCCTTACGACACTCCTGATCGTACCATGGGTTTCTTGGTGGTGGTTTTGCTGCAGTTTGTATGAAGTGGGCAATTCTTTGCCATAGTGCTTCTATATTATTATCAGGACAAGATGAGCTTTCGCAAGAAAGTGGGTAAGTTGAGCGGGGTAGGCTTCTGCTACCTGTTGTGTTGCAGTTTTTCGACGTCAAGTTTCCGTGTTGTATTAAATCGCACCTTTGCTGCAACATTAAGACGGGTGCGTACCTTGGCTGCCACAAGGTAATGGTCGAATCGATATTCGCTTCTCGTATCGAACGAACGTCTAATACACTGGACGAATGTCTTTCGTCTATCACAACATGATCAATTTGATTTCTCGTTGCTTGATCAGGAGAAATCCAGGTGGCCTTGTGTATATCGAGGTGCTTGAATCTGGTGCTGCTAACTTTCAAGTTTTTTGCTGCCGCGAAATCAATCAACCTCACGCCGTTGTCAGATGTTTCTTCATCCACGCCTTTTGATCCTTAGATCGTGGATTTTTATGGATATTCTTTTTTTCAAGAACTGTTAGCTCATTCCGTGTGGATTTTTTTTTAAGAACCTTAGGATAACGAATGTGTAGATTAAAAAAAAAATAAAGAATACTTGGATCAAGTTTGCTTGGTTTTTGTAAAAAAATTATTTGGAAACCCCTCATAGCAATAGACTTTGAAGTTTACGAACATTTTTTTGAAAACCTTTAGATAAAATTTTTCTGGATCCAGGAGTTTTCTAAGGAATCTATACATTTAGTTTCTTTGAGTTTAAAGAGATAATTGAAAAATGACCCCATAATTAAAAAAATTAAATATATATTAAATAAATTCTTATACTACATTTTATCGCTATTATATTTTATACATTTTTTGGCTTATTTACAATTCATAAATACAATTTAATTCGATTCAGCCAAACACTTATCGAGCTCAGCATACGTCTTGGCTGTCTCCTCTACATAGGTAGCCTTACAGGTTTCCGTGCAAACTGTCTCATCATACTGAATGGTTTGATAACGCAGCTGGATATATTGAGATTTGCTCTTCGATGTGGTTTGGATGGTGTAGGAATTGCTGGTGGCATTTTCAGCCTAAAAAAGAGCATACACAAAATATTGATTATATAAATATTACGATTTTAAGATGATATGGTTACTTACCGCATCAGCATAACATTCAAAGGCATCAAGTGATGACACTACTCCAGAACACTTAGAGTATCTCTGGCACACATCTTCAGCCAAAGCATCAACATTGCTACGATCCTTGGCCACCTCCGCTTCAACACGTTCCTTCGACGTAGCTGTGGTATTCAAACAGGCACCATAGGCTGCTTCATATTCTTCGGTCAATTGATTTAATTTTGGCAAATATTCTTGGAAGCAGGCAATGTTACGAGGAGAATTTCTCTGCATTGCCTGCATTAGATAAGTGGACAAACGTTGTTCGGCCACTGACACCACACTGCTGCTAGTCAGATCGGCTGCATGACAGCCACACACGGCAATCAATAATAAAGCGAATAGAAATAATTTAGACATTTTGATAGTTTCGTTACTTTGACAAATGTGACAATCGGCATTCGTGCGGCAGACCGTTATATACATGGGCTAAAAATTTTATTGAACGATGGTGTTTTCGTTTCGTTCATTTTTTTTATCAACAATTTTGATATGGAATCAAATGTTAAGCTCAACACACAATGAAGATAATACCGAACGATGTGTGTTATCAGGTGAAAGAAATCCTCCATTAGAAAAAGAAAATAAACAAAATTCTATTGCCTTTGCAAAATAATGCAATTTTAATTTTAATTCATAGACAAATAATTCAAATAAAAATTGCGTAGATTGGCCACTTTGAGTCATTTATTATAGGCCCATTTGAATTATTAAACAAAACAACAACAAAAATCTATAATTATATTTTAACAGACATTTTTGGTTGAATTACCGAAAATTTTAATCAATACTGCCTGGCGTAGATTTATTTCCGACGATTTGAATTTATCAATTCCCATTAGAAATTATAGATATACTAAATATATACAAGGATTTTCTATTTATAAATTCGATTTTGAAATTGAACTGCTTATTAAAAACTCTTTCAATATATTGAATTAACAAGCTCTAATAGCAGTATACTAAAGAAAATTATAATTAGAACCGAACGCTGGACACTTATGTACATTTCCTAGAAACACTTCTATATCGATTTTCCTTAGAATTCCAATGCAAATTTTGTAGAGTTTTCCATACCAAATACGAAATTTCTTATCACAGCTTTAGTTGAAGTGCCTTGTCATTCAACCACAATTTGGACAATGGGTTAAAATTCACAATTTGTATGCACAAAATTGTGGCAAACTATAATTCCGATGATATGAAGGCAATTTTCCTAGAACACTCAAATATTGATTTTCTTTGGAATCATTAAATGAAGTAGTATAGTTGGACCGGGCTGAGCACATGATACCCTATAAAACTGCTAATTAATTAATATAATTCTTGGGAGCATAAGGCTTCCACAAAGCCTCGCCATGTTCTGATTATGCCATGGACATAACGCGGAAAATCGATCTTCATTTCCTACGATTTTGACGAGTAAAATATACAAAAATACAAATATTTCATTAATATCAAAACAATTTTCATACTTCACACTTCTTCACCACTATTTGTGCCTTTTTTTTTGCTCTCACTCTCTTTAACAAAACAATGTCATTTCTCCCTAGAAAAAAAAAACACCACCACCATTTACCATATCTTTCATTACTGCCTCTCTTGGCAACAACCGCCGTCTCATGGCTCGATGTTGGTTAGTTTTGCATTCCATTGCTTCTTTGTTTCAGAGACTCTTATAAAATTCGCATATGTATTTTCCAAATTATTTCGATATAAATGTATAATACAATTTCTCAAATAAGTATTGATAAGAGCAACAAGCCTGACCAAATGTTTAACATTGCATTCTAACATTCTAATTCAGACGCAAAAACAACAAGTGAAAAAGCGTTAAGTTCGGCCGGGCCGAACTTTGGATACCCTCCACCATAAATATACTGACTGGTATTTGACATGAAAATATAGGGAAAATACCAAAAAGTGGATCTATACCACCGACATTTCTACAAAGCGATTATGTAAACCATAATAAAAATTTCAGAAAATTTTAATGGATAATTATACCCTCAGCCTTATGGCTAATGCATACACTTTCACACGGTGAAAATGTGCCCCATCGATATATTGGTTCTAGACCCCATGTTTCTTTGGACCAAATCCGTTTCAGAATATTTAGATTTCATTCAAACCTTGCCCATCGTATTATTTCTTCCAAACTTAGTTCAAATTCGAAGATGGGGAATATCGGCCCACTCCTTCTGGAACCTCCACACAGGGGCTAGGTTTAAATGCGTCTATAGTTCATTATCGACTACCCCAAAAGGGGACTACCCCAAAAAAGGAGGCGAATAGTAATAATTTTTGGTAGGGAGATTTGTTACCACATACGACTACAAAATACCAAATTGCAGCAAATTCGGTTGAAAACGCGCTCAAGAATCCCAAAATACCGAAAATTGGGGGTACCCTTATATGGGAGCAATGCCTAAACGTGAACCGATGAAGCCCATCGATAATGCCTGCAGACAAGAGACGACTCTATGCAAAATGTTGGCGATCTATATCAATTCGTTTAGACGCTAGAGTGATTACAACAGACAGACGGACAAGGCTATATCGTCATAAAATTTTACGCTGATCGAGAATATATATACTTTATAGGGTCGGAAATGATTATTTCGATGAGTTACAAACGGAAAAACAAAATTAATATACCCTCATACTATGGCGGAGGGTATAAAAATATGTTTGTAAGTAAATACGAAACGAGACAAGAAAAGTAAATAAAGAAGAAAACATGATTACTTAGCTGGCTTGTGACAGAACGATTTCCATGCGCGTCGGTCTTGTGCGTAGCTCTTCTAATTTCAAGAACCATGCTCCGAGATGTTGTCTTCCACTTCATCTTTCGAATCATCGAATTCGTGGCCTTCCCCTTCTACGTGATCCAACAGTTGGCTCGCTTTTATATACATTTAGAGCTGGGGCATCCTTATCCATTCTCACAACATGAGTCGTTGCAGCTGTCGATGTCCGAGAAAATATGGTACAGCTTATGGTTCACTCGGCTCAAAGATCATCCGTAGTATTTTTCTCTCCAACACTCCATGAGCTGAATCATCAGCTTGCGCAAGAACCCATGATTCAGATCCATACAACATCAGGGTAGTATCAGCGTCCTGTAGAGTGTGAGCTTGGTCTGACTTACTCAGACCATAGTAGTATCTGTTGCCCAACACTATTCTTCTACGAATTTTTAGGCTGATATTATTTTTTTGTTTATGGCGGTACCAAGATTTATAAAATTGTTCACTACCACAAAGCTGTAGTTTTTAAGTTCCAGAGTTGGTCCGAATCTATTGGACGTCTTGCACGTTGATACAATCAACCTGGTCTTCTTGCCATTTACTACCAGTCCCACTTTGGCCGACTCAATCTCAATTCGTTCATACGTGGCTGTTACCGCTCGCAATGTTCGACCCATTATGTCGATGTCGTCGGCGTTACACGACAGACTGTCATCTTGTCTGAATCCTCGTTCCATATTAAAGGGCTCCGAGAGGTCCTTTCCGACTTTAATATATATTAATATAATATGCATCCGTCTGTGGATGTTAAATTGTAAACAGCATACATTTATCATCCGATTTGGAAGAAACTTGGCCACTTATTCGGCCCAAGGATGAACTCTATTGAAATTGGGGAAAATCGGTTCAGATTTAAATATAGCTCCCATATATAATTTCGTTCTATTTAAGGTAAATGGTGCAACAAAGTTACTATATATCTTTCGAAATTTGGCATAGCGCAATGAATTAGGTCTAGAATGATGTGTGCTAAGTTTCCTGAAAATCGGTTCATATTTAGATATAGCTCCCATATATAATTTCGTCCGATTTAAGGTAAATGATGCGCCAAAGTCCCTATATATCTTCCGATATGCACGAAATTCGGCATAGCGCAATGCATTATGTCTAGAATGATGTGTGCTAAGTTTCGTGAAAATCGGTTCAGATTTGGATATAGCTCCCATATATATGGTTCTCCAAAGTTCTTATATATCTTTCGTTCAATTTCATGCCAATGTTCTTTCGAAAAAGCTGTTAGGAGACTATGTAGAATAGAATAACAGTGGTGAGGGGTATTATATAGTCGGCCCAGATCGACTTTACTACTTTCCTTACTGGTTAAAAATTATTTTTTTTCTCAAGGACTATAAGAGCCTTAAGCGTTAATAGACAATCAATTTTTTTTAACAAATATCGTAGGCCTAGGCATATACAAATTTCATTTCATATTTTATTTTCCCCTAACAAAATTCCGGTGAATTTCAGGCCATGGATACACAAAGAGTTTTATAGAGAAAAACAAATTTTTGAGTGCAAAATTAAAATCCGATATCTAAAAAACAAATCTGGTAATTTCTTGTGACGGTGATTTTCCACGAAAAACAACAATTCCTATTGGAAGAAAAAATATCCCTTAATCACTATGGTCATATATATCCAATTGGGACAATATAATTCTTAAAAATAAAATAATAATATTTTTATATGGTGGTCTTTATGGTATTTATCGCCAAATATCGGATTGTTTTTTTTTTCTTCTTCTTCAAAAACAATGATGACTTCCAATGTGAAAAAAATAACCTAGTCAACTAATTTCATTTAAGAAAGGGGGATTTTTCATTTCACTGTTATAAACAGTGGTCGAAGGGTTTGGCCGGAAATACTGGTGCTAGATGGGCGTAGTTGGGTGCTTAAATTGTCAAAAAAATGATCAACCATAAAATATGTAAACTATAAGCCGCTATAGATTAGAAAATGACAATAACAAAATATTTTTTTGCTCTTTACCAACAATTTATATTCAACGATGATGATGATGATAATGGAATGCCTGGCAATATATTTTCTATATATTTATCGGTTAATACATCATCGTAGATTTGCTTCTTGGGAAAAAAGATAGTGTGAGTGAGGGTTCTTGTTGCTGGTATGGTGATTACGGTGACTTATACGAACAAATTGGGGTATTATTTGGTAATATTTTTTGATGAATTTGTTGTTGGCCTTTTTTTTTCTCGCCATCGTACCTCGGCAATAATTGATAAGAAAATATGCCAATACATTACCGGTGATTTTTGCGGCCGCATGAATGGTATTTTGTATAAAACCAAAGTGAAATTGATTTCAGCAATTCAGTGCTACTACGGCTACTATCTTTTCACGACAAATAAACAAATAACGAATTCGAAAGTTTTCCGACAATTAGAAAATTTAAAAAAATATTCGAAAAATAAAATCATGTGGATCTTAAGTGTGTTACTTTTGGCTGTTGCCTCCAAGGAAGCTTTCTCCTTTAATGTTGTGCCCCTGGTCGAAAGGAATTTGGCCAATACCATTTTGAAATCGAGTCATGTCATGCGGGATAATTCACCACGCAACTTGGAATGTTTTTCGGTTTATTTGCCGCTGATCAATGAGGCCACAAATAAATATGAAGCTGCCTATGCCCAATGTTTGGATACTGCCGACAATGCCACCAAGGCTGTGGAGGCTGAGGTAGCTGCAGATCGTGCCACCGTTAGCTATGAAGCTGAAGGAATTTGTACCCTTTATCAGGAATGTTCTCAAAAGACCTCATCTTTGGATTTCTTTGATTGCTACAGTGAAACGGTAAGTTAAAAGGATCTACACATTTCGTAAAGTATTATTAAATTGTTTATCTCCCCTTCCTTCAGGCTGCCTCTGCCATCAGCTCTTCGTATGACATTCAGACTTTGTCGAAAAACAAATGGCAATATGTCAACAACAGATATCAAGTCATTGCCTATGAACAAAAGACCTGTACCGATACCTGTGCCGATGAATATGTCAAGGAATCCACTGCCCTGTATGCTGCCTTGGACACCTGTTTGGCGGGTGGCGGTTTTCCAACACCATCCCCCGCACCCACAACACCTAAACCTGTTGAACCCGAAACAACAACTATAGCTCCTGTTGTAACCACTACTGAAGTAGTAACAACAACACCTGAGCCTGTTCCAGAGACAACAACTGTTGTTCCCGAACCAGAGACAACTGCCGTTCCCGAACCAGAGACAACAAATCCACTTGATACAACACCTGCCCCAGTACCTGAAACAACTACCCCGCATATTCCAACACCACCACCAGCAGTATACTAAAGTGAAGGTGTTGTTGAGTAGGAACAATTTAATCCTTTGATTTATTTAAATTGTTTGTTTGTTTAATAAACTATATAAAAGCAATTGGTTATAATGTAAATATTATTTATTAATATATCATTGGCAATATATTGGCTATGAATAAACTAAAATAAGAAATCTCAGTTTGGTTTTTAGAATTGAAAAACAATTTCGAATTTTAATATTTCAAAGCATTTTCATATACTACTTTTTATATCCTACACCCTTGGATAGAAAATCTCCCTAAAAAAATAATCAAAATAGGCCATGTTTCGTGGTAGCCCCCAAAGAGCGGTTGCCCCTTATCTCTTTTTTGGGATGTCGATCACATTTTTCAAACGAATTGACTGTATTTAAATATTTTTGGTTCTCATGGAGCGTAAAATCTTTCCCCTAAAAATATATATTAAATCGGTACACGTTTTGGTATAACACCCATATAAGGACACCACAGCATTTTCGGAATTTTTTGAAGGTTTTAGCCATATTTTCCAACCGAAGTAACTGTAATTTCACATAGCGGGGTTTTTGAAACTGACATACATACGGGTCAAGGCTTGGACATAGCCACCAAATAAAAGCAGCGCTCCATTTTTTTCGCCGCACTCTATCCTTGAAGTGACTGTAATTTGACATTCCGTGTCATTATAGTGTAAAATACATGTATGCAGGAAAATTTTGAAAATAATGTTCCCACCGAATCCTAAATGTTCATTGCACGTCCATATGTTGACATAAAGAGGGACGTAACTAATTTTCCGAACGCTGAATGTAAGACTTTTTTTTGACATTCCTCTGGTGAATAAAAAACTGGTTTTCAGAAAGTTTTCAATATACATCGCTTCTTGTTGGCCTAGAAAAAGCAGTAAACGGAGCAGTATAGTCGGACGGGGCCGACCATACCATACCCTACACAACTACCATGGAACTGTAACTTTCTGCGGATGTTTATTTTTAAGCCTGAGCAATATTTCTTGATATCTACACCCTGTTGCCCGATTAGAGGTCAACAGCACATCTTCCTTACGTTAGACATATTTGCCGAATATTACTAATATTCTGTAAAGTACTTCTAATTGTTTGTCCACATTCCCTTCACCGTGGGTTGTGTTGTTATGTTCGGTTTTCAATTGTGGCCTATATATCGACTCAAAACACAAACCTTGACCATAACTGGATCCTCATGGAACATTTCAAAGTGATCAGCGCTATATTTCCACCCTCCAGTATGGTAATGGGTTACTAAATAATAAATGAATACCTAAGTACCTGTAAATATTTAAGTGAAACTCCCACATCCGAGTACATACAACCATATAATTGGTATCAGTTTAAAGGTCAACTAGTCCTCTTGGATAATCTATTATTAACTTCTCGGGTCTATGTCCTGCAGGGGTAAATCTATACTCTAAAGAATACAAATTTTGTCATTTTTCACACACAAGTCAGGATCCATTTGACCGATCTTTGTCAAAACCGGCATGCTTATTCTTTCGCACGATCTCCTTCTCCATGCAAAAATTCGCGATGTTTGGGCCATATTTGCGGCGTCTGGAGCGACCATAAAAACCGACAAAAATTAAGTATTTGGTCCATTTCATCCCCTTAATATCAACCGATCTTTACTAAAAACAATAGGGGTCTTGGCCAGGGTATTGGCCAGAACACATCCTACATGCAAAATTTCGTGAAGATTGGTCCATAACTTTGGCTTGTATCGTGTTTACAAATTATAATGGACAGACGGACGGACGGACACACATGTCTAGATCGACTCAGCTAGTCGAGTTATGAGGATCGGTACACTTAAAGGTGGGTCTAGGACCAATATTTCGCGGCGTTACAAACTCTTGGGGCTGCATAAAGCTATAATACCCTGACAACATAGTTGTGTAGGGTATAAAAAACTTTCATGTCTAGAAAACAATTAAAAAAGTAGACTTGATTTTTGTTTTAAATACTTACTTTCTTAGCTGGCTTGTGACAGAACTTTCGTTCCATAAGCCGAGCTTAAAAAAGATTTCCAGGTGCGTCGGTCTTTTGCGTAGCTTTTCCAGTTTGAAATATCATATTCGGCAATGTTGTCTTCCACTCGATCTTTCCATCTTATTCGTGGCAATACCCTTCTGCGTGAGCCATCAGCTGGTTCGATTTTATATGCCTTATGGGCTGGGTCATCTTCATCCATTCTCATAACATGACCTAGCCAACGTAGTCGCTGCAGCTCAATATATATATATATATATAGTATTTAATTACCTCGCAGCTGTAGTTCTCATGTTCCACAGTAGCTTCGATTCTACTGAACGTCTTGCGTGTTGATACCATCAACTTGGCCTTCTCGTTGTTTACTGCCAGATCCACTCTGGCAGACTCCTTACCAATTTTTTCAAAAGTGGCTGTTACCACTCGCAATGTTCGACCCATTATATCGATGTCATCGGCGTAGGCGAGTAACATGTGTTGTTTGACCATCGTTTAGTAGACCAAAAGTTCTTCTAAAAGATCAAAAAGCCCATTCACCAGTGAAATGAATACCATAAGTTTTCTCATCGGAGGCCAAATGTTCTTTCTATACCCTTCACCACACTGTGGTACAGGGTATTACGTCTTTGTGCATATGTTTGTAAGAGGCAAAAGGAAACGAGATAGAACCATGGCTCCTTTTGAGAATCATATTCTGAGTCGATTTATGCATGTCAGTCCGTCAGTCCACGTTAAATTGTAAACAAAGTACAGGTCGGATTTATAATCCCAATTGGAAGAAATTTGGTATAGATCATTTGTATGGCCCAAGGACGAACCCTATTGAAATTGGAAAAAATCGGTTCAGATTTATATATAGCTCCCATAAAATGTTTCGTCCGATTTTCAGTAAACGATGCAGCAAAGCTCCAAAATATGGCCGATTGGCACAAAATTTTGCAAAACGTACTGAAATAGGTATAACCTACTGTGTGAAAAGATTCCCTGAAATCGGTTCAGATTTAGATGTAGCTCCCATATATAGTTTCGTCCGATTTTCAGTAAATGGTGCAACAAAGCCCGCAATATCGCCGATTGATACACAATTTTGCACAACGTACTGAAGTTACTATTACATAACGTGTGTCAAGATTTGTTGAAATCGGTTCTGATTTGGATATAGCACCCATATATATATATATATATATATTCATCCGATTTTCAGTTTTCAATGGTGCACCAAAGCTCCAAAATATGGCCAATTGGTACAACATTTTGCACAACGTACTGAAGTTATTATTACATAACGTGTAGAAAGTTTCGTTAAAATCGGTTCTGATTTATATATAGCTCAATATACATTTTCGTCCGATTTTATTTCAATAATGAACCAAAGATCCAAAATATACTGAAGTTAGTATAGCCTATCGTGTGACAAGCTTCGTTGAAATCGGTTCAGATTTGAATAAAGCTCCCATCAAGGACCCAAAAATATGGCCGATATGCACAAAACGTATTGAAGTTAGTATAACCTTAATCGTTGAAATCGGATTTGGGTATAGCTCCCATATATACTTTCGCCCAATTTCATGTTAATTAGGCTCCAAATAATCAATGGGTGTCCGATTGAGATTTGCTTTAAATCGATTTACTAATTTTGTCCCATTGCAAACAAACGACTCTATATCTGTCCCTATGAAAAATTTAGCATAGGTTGCAGAATGACAAGTCTATGATTGATTTAAATCGGTTCGCAGTTAGATAAAGATCGCCTCTTTCTAGTTTATCCAATTTTATGTTAATGGTCCTTCAAATATGCAACGTATATAAGGATACATCTGTTGAATATACTCAAACTGGTGAGTATATTCAACAGATATATAACCTTACTGGTTATAAATGAATCGGAAGGTCTTCTCAACGAAGAATATCAAATTGTCTTCTTGTATAACAAAAGTTCCATCCCATATATGATCAACAAAGCCTTTTTATAGAGTACAACAAGGTCCGAAGGCAACTACCTTTTCATATCTGCTGATCATATCGATCTTTATGCCACAAATATAGAATGTTACCCTTGACTCATGGGGTTTGTTGTACAAAAAAACAACCACATAGTAACTTGTTGTTGTAAGTAATTCTAGTGTCAACGTAATTTAATTGATAAACGTAAACAAACATAAAAATTATTAACATATTGTATTTTAAAATGCTGAAAATTGGGAATTATTCTATGAAGAAAGATTTTCTGTTTCAAATTATCCCAGCAGGCAGATTGAGTAAATTTTTAATTGCAGATTTTAATGCGTACTAAAATTTTCTGTTGGGTACATTTTTAAAAACATAATTTGTCATATTCATATTGACACGAGTGAATGAATCCGGTGAGTTTTGCAGTACCTTCTATAGGTTGTACCATGCATTTGGCTCTTATTGAGTTTTGGGAGAAAACACCAATACTACATGTACCCCACCTAATACTCGTACACAAGGGTTTATTCATGAATAAACCTTGCTCGTACATATTGTTTTGGTTTTTCGAAGTTGTCAAAAATTATAATAATAGAAATTAAATAGCTTCAAAATTCTCTGTCCTGAATAGACCTTGCTGTGTCCTCTATTCCACCAGCAATGTCACTAATTTGTGGTCTATGTAATTTGGCGAATTTTCTTAGTCAATTATTTATTGCCCTAATATGGAATGGTATGTTCCGCCTTGCATTGGAACTATTTAAATTTGTCATTGTACTTTTTATCAATTTTGCATTTGGTTATGGCATATTCATAATGGTGAGTTGGAGTGCATAATCTTGCTAGATAATTAATATTTAAAAATAATTCCCTTATTAGTTCGATGGTTCACCATTTTCATTCGACCAATTGGGGAATGTCGTAGCAACAATTAGGCGATTGAGTGACAATCTCATAGAAAGGCAACAACGTTTAAGTTTTGGTGGTGCCCAACCTCCAACAATAACAAATACTGAAAATACTACTGAATCCAATAGACCCAGTCATGATGTGCAATCGAAACGGGATTTGTGAATATTGGTAAATATTTTGAATTTTTTCTGAATCTTTTGAAAAACCTGAATAGCAAATAGTATACTATTCGGGTTAGAAATAATCCAAAGACATTAGTCAAGGCCTACCAAAGGCGTGGATTTTTTAAAGAATATTTTTTCAAGGCCTATCAAAGGCGTGGATTTTTTAAAGAATATTTTTTTCAAGGCCTATAAAAGGCGTGGATTTTTTAAAGAATATTTTTTCAAGGCCTATCAAAGGCGTGGATTTTTTAAAGAACATTTTTTCAAGGGCTATCAAAGGCGTGGATTTTTTAAAGAATATTTTTTCAAGGCCTATCAAAGGCGTGGATTTTTTAAAGAATATTTTTTCAAGGCCTATCAAAGGAGTGGATTTTTTAAAGAATATTTTTTCAAGGCTTGGTATGATAAGGCAATAATATGTGTAGATTTTTTAAAGAATATTTTTTGAAGGCCTATCAAAGGCGTGGATTTTTAAAGAATAGTGAATATAAAGAATCTGTGAATCATTCGTCATGGCCTATAAACATCTTTGAATGTTGAGCACATGACATCTGTAGGAATACCCGTACTATTCTACATTTTCAAATTTATTAACACATTTCATTAATTAGAGCACAATTTGTTTATTATTCAATTATTATTAGTATTTTGTTTCGGGTACGGTTCCATAAATAACGTCAATGGACAAGTCTACGATAATGTCGGACATTGTGGTTCCAGCTGCTCGAATAATATTAATAGTAAAACACGCTTCGCACTCTCTCAGCGAGATTGCCATGATTTATTGGCAAAAATGTCTTGCGATAATAGTTATCAGTTTTTTTCGAATAAAAGTCAAAATAATTTAATCGATGACATTATTTGGAGCAATTTTTTTATCATAATGGGGGGACATACGTAGACACGAAAATCTAATTTTTTGGTATGAATGGACAATAATTATCCAGCCATTAGTGAGTGAAACAAAATGTTGACAACACTTCGACTTTTAGTCGGTTTTTTGATTTTAGAAGCAATAGTTTTGGGGCAGCCGATCAGCAATGATGGCAAACCCAATTTGGCTAATATTATTTTGAAATCACAACAAGTGAATTTGGATGGACCTGCACATCTGGAATGTTTTGATTTATATTTACCCCAACTAAATGAGGTTACACTTCAATATGAATTTGAATTTCTGCAGTGTTTGCAAATAGCTGAAATTGCCAGGCAAGCTGTGGAAGATGAAATGATATTTGAGCGTCAAGGTATAGAAAGTGGTGCGGAACAAATTTGTACTCTGTATGGAAATTGTGTGGAAACATTGTTGCCTTCAGATTCATTTGAGTGTTTTTCGAATGTTGTAAGTATTTCAGAATGTGGACTTAAAAAAATAAACTGCTAATTTTGTTATTTTTATTTTCAAAAGACTCTGGAGGTCCAGTCAATAGCTTTTAACATGCAGCAGTTGGCTACGAGTAAAAGTCAATACTTAAAACTGACATATCAGACGATTTTACATGATCAGAATATATGTACCGATAGATGTACATATGCGTATGCCCTGAAAACATCAGCTCTCTATGACTCATTACAGTTATGCCTTTCTGGAGGTGTTTATACTACATCGCCGTTGCCATCTACTGAGGAAAACAGCACTAAACCTTTTACTGAAGGGCCCACTGAGCTTCCAACAACACCTGAAAAAACTACACCCCCTGTAACAGATCTACCCACTGAGCTTCCTACAACAGAGGCAACAACTACTGAACCAGTAACAGAAGAACCCACTGAACTTCCAACGACAGTGGAAATTACAACCGAACCAGTAACAGAGGAACCCACTGAACTTCCAACGACAGTGGAAACTACAGAAGAACCTACTGAACAGCCAACAACACCGGAAATTACTACCGAACCAGTAACAGAAGAACCTACAGAGTTTCCAACAACAGCGGAAAATACCACTGAAAATGTAACAGAAGTAACCTCGGATCTTCCAACAACAGAGGATAAAACGACCGAACCAGTAACCGAAGAACCCACTGAGCTACCAACAACAGAGGAAAAAACTACCGAACCTGCTACAGAAGGAACCACTGAGTTTACAGCAACAGCGGAAAAGACTACCGAACCTGTTACAGAAGGACCTACTGAGTTTCCAACAACGGAAGGAAAGACCACTGAACATGTCACAGAAGGAACTTCGGAAATTCCAACAACTGAGGAAACAACTACCGAACCAGTAACCGAAGAACCCACAGAGCTTCCATCAACATTGTTTACCACTACCGAAGCTGCAACAGAAACATCAACTGGAACCACAACATCAGTGGAAAATACCACAGAACCGGTTACTTCAGAAACAACCGAGTCGTCAACCACTGAGGAAATAACAACAACAGAAATTTCTACCACAGAGACTACATCGACGACACCTCGTAGTCCTCCAGTCCCGCCCACATTTTATCCCGCAAGTACTGCACCTAATATCATTACACCATTTGAACCGGAATTTGTAACACCTACTGTGGTACCCACACCACCAACACCTTCAACACCTAATAGTACAGAATCGGGATTTCCAACACCGCCGAATGTGAACTGATATTGAAATATTTTCCAAAATAAAAAATTTAAAAAAAAAATTGGGTTTTCTAAAAAATATTTTTTCAAGGCCTGGATTTTTTGAAGAATATTTTTTCAAGGTCTATTCAAGGCGTGGATTCTTTAAAGAATATTTTTTCAAGGTCTATTCAAGGCGTGGATTCTTTAAAGAATATTTTTTCAAGGTCTATTCAAGGCGTGGATTCTTTAAAGAATATTTTTTCAAGGTCTATTCAAGGCGTGGATTCTTTAAAGAATATTTTTTCAAGGTCTATTCAAGGCGTGGATTCTTTAAAGAATATTTTTTCAAGGCCTGCATTTTTTCAAAAATAGTGTTTCAAGGCCTATTAAAGGCGTGGATTTTTTAAAGAATATTTTTTCAAGGCCTATTAAAGGCTTGGGATTATTTAAGAATGTGTGTATTTCCTCATTCCTACAGTTGTTTGTTACTCCACCATTATAAAAATGGTCACCTTACTATGCTTCAACACTTTGACCTCGCTAATCATTATGTATGGTATGGATTATTTTGACATCTCAGTTAATGGACTTCAACATAGGTGTGTCCGAGCTTAAAGAAATGTGAAGACAGCTTGAGATAACGGCCTATACCATCACTCAATAAGTCAACAAACACGCAGTTATGTCGTTCGCAAGACTTATTACCATCATAAATATATATTTTTTGCTGTCATTTCGGAAGTTTAAAAATGTATTGCATAATTTAGTCTCAAATGGCATTACCCTAAGTACACACATTTAAATGAAATATCATCCGTAAACATGTACTTTTGTTGTTTTTATTTGGTTGTTGTTTATTTATTTGTTCAATGTTAGGTGAAGCTAATAGCAGTCACGTTAATATTGAACGGATGTTGACATAGAGTTTGAAGATGAAAGAGAAGATTTTGTATTGTTTGGCGGAAAAGTACTGGAATATAGCACAATATTTATGTTGCTTTAATAACTCTAAATGTTGAATGAGAATAATGTATTAGAGTTGGGAGGAAATCATTAATGTGGGAAATGCTTGCAACTACACTCAAGTACGCTTACAACGAACACCGGCTATTTCGCACCCTAACACTGGCAACCGTTTCAAAAAATGTCATGCTTATCAAAAAAAGAGAAGCAGCGTAATTATTGTCAAAAACACAAATCTTCAAATCTGAATATATTTTTTCCTGTTTATCCAAATATATTCCTTACCTTGGATATAACGAACTTCTTCTATACGAACTAATTTGCCTGGTCCCTACAAGTTCGTTATAACCGTACTTTGGTGTATTTTAAGTGAAGGAGCAGCAATCGTTTGAAAATGTACTTGGTTTATGGCTTCGCTACGTTAATTTACAATTTATCTTCATGGATAACATTAAGTCTATGGTTAGTATACATATTAAAGTTTGACAGGTTTCCACCACAAAGGATTTACCATTTATCGATCGATTCCGATTTACCCTATTTTGAAAACTGATCAAGGTCTGGTGAAAACATTATGATGTGTCAAGTTTGGATAAAATTGGATTTCCGTTCGCTTCATACAAGATTTGAAAATGTTGACCCTTTTTTGGAGATGAGCTTGAATGTGTTAACCAATAAGCCCCGTCTTTAAACAATACAAAGGCTTAGTTAAAATATTTGGGTCAATCAATTTTTAGTAAAATTATGACCATTTTGTGGGAAGGTGCCAGATATTTCACATGAATCCGGCGTTAGAACGATAGAGCCGTGTATTATTCGCAGTCGAATGGCATAACACATGGGTGCACATTGAAAATACCTAAAATCGATCGGGATTATTATGTGGAGGGGTGCATAAAATCCTGAAAATATCGAATAAAGGTTTAATGAAAATTATCTACCTAATAAGGGTTTAAAATACCAAATTACAGTCACTATGGTGGAAAATGTGCCCAAACTCCCCAAAATATCGGCATTTAGGAGATACAGTTATGCGGGACTATTCTAATTATATGTAACTGAAGTGTATATTAAATTTGTCATTCCATTGTAGAATGTTCTAATTAAACGGCACTGGCACAATTTCGGAATTCTGAAGTTTTTTATTTTTACCCATAAGGGGGTGAAAATATTTGTGCTGAAAATATTCTGTATAGGCCTGTGTTTTGAATTAGTAAATCTTCATACTAAAAATTATCAATATAGGTCCACCTTTTAGGAAAATACCACACATAATGCCTCACCCCATAGATCGGTATTTTGGGGAGATTCGGCACCTGTTTCAACAAATTTGGTAACCATTTAATATTTTGGATTTTTATTGAGTAGAAAATGTCCTGCCAAAAATGATCAACGTTGAGTCATTATTCGTTTCTTCACCGAATTTCCTAGATTTGGATTTTTCATATTCTTATTCTTCCTACCAAAAATTTATCGTTTGGTATAGCTCCCATAGAATGGTACCATATTATTTTCGGTGTTTTGAAGACTTTCACTTTCCAACCGAGGCTGATTTGAATATGTCCAAGTTTTAAAAAGTTCGGTCCGACCTTTTTACTTCTTAATACCCTATACAACTTTGTTATCAGGGTATTAAAGCTTTGTGTAGCCCCAACGAGTTTGTACACCGCGAAATATTGGTAGATCTAGACGTGTGTGTCCGTCCGTTCATTATAAATTGTTGCATGCACTCGGATATACGAATTATACGTAAATATTAGGTTGGGGGAAACAGTTCATTATTTTATATGCACTATAGGACTTTATTTAACATGCTTTGGATTGTCCGATTTGGACTGTTTTGTTGTATGATTTGTTGCACTTTTAAAGAAATTTTGCAACACAAGAAAAAGATGATGCATTAAAACATCCCAAAAAGAGCTCCCGAAGTTTCTGGCGAGTCAATGTTGATGTGTGTGGCCTAGCGTTGTCCTGGTGGAACACGACAATTCTGGCTGTTTCTATCCAATTGCTATCTTCAAACGGTCCAGTTGTTGACAGTAGATATCAGAATTTGGCGTTTGTCCATATGGAAGCAACTCATAATAAAAAAATTCCCATCCAGTCCCACCAAATACATAGCAGAACCTTCCTGGCCGTTAGTCCTGGTTCTGCCATCGTTTGAGGTGTTTCACCGCTCTTTGACCACGATCGTTTTTGCACATGGTTATCGTATGTGATCCATTTCTCATCTCCAGTCACCATCCGTTTAAGAAGTGGGTCCATTTCATTCAGTTATGTTGGGATAATAAGTAGGGGGTACAATGAACAAAAAACTTTATTTTTTCATATTTTCAAGTCGTTCTAGAGACCATTATTATATACAGAACGTTACATATTTCATACGGTGAAGGTGATCTGACCAAATATTTAGAACGGCTGTTTTGATGATCACCGGTCAATATTCCGAGGGTCTAATCAATCAAAACTTAAAGTGTCAAAATTTGTATTTTTTAGTGTAAATATTCTCCTCGGGAAAACAAGATTTGGAAAATATACCATGATTAGAAAGTAAAGCTGTTGACCTATAATCTGTCTATAGGGTGCAAATATTATGAAATGCTGCCAAGGCTCAGTATATAGAACCGCAGAAAGGTAGATTTCCGTAGTAGTTATATATGCTTTCTACCGCCGCTAATAAATGTTTTTCCTGACAGCATTCGGAATTTTAAATTAAATCCAAATTTCCTGATGTAATTTCGCAATGATTGAGGTGTAACCAATCCTTATAGAAGGATCAATGCGGATTTGACGAAGTAGAAATGAACATTGCCTTATTGATTACTTAAAATGGTTTAAATTTCGTCGTGCCCACTTTTTTGGTAACAGGATACGAAATTTGGCGATATAAAATAATGTTCCCTTCTATTGTCGGTAGTTTGAAAGTTTTAACATCGGCCCCAATTTTTTTTATTTTAGCCGAATTTACCCACAAAGGCGGCTGGAATTCAGCATTCCGAGTTGTTGTAAATTTTCTTTTCGAAGGATTTCAGATGCATCTTTTGACGTAGTCTCCATATAAAGAAAGAATCAACAAGTTTCGAAAGGTAGAGCAACTGCTTATGATTTTCTACGTTAAATAAAAAAAAACATATTGTTTTTACCTTCCAAAACGTTTTACTATACTCATAGAAAGACCAAGGATCACTGATATCTGTAGTCACCTCATTGAATTTCGCGTGACATTTAAATTATGGTTAGTTAGCAATTCCTTCTGACCTTCAACATACAATATGTTTCCTCAAACAAAAAACCCATAAATCATTTATAGACATATATATATATATATATATATATTTGTATGCATTTTTATTTATTTACATATGCCGCTGGTGTTATTCACCAAACAAAATGAAATAAAAAATTTATCCAAAAAAGGAAGTTCCCTGATGACCAATATTAAATGCACTAAAATAAAGATGAACTTGTACTTTAGAGACCAACGCATAAATCAATTATTTGCGCGTGTTCAATATTTTGTTAATGCACATAAATTATTATGGGCACATCTCTTGCGTATGGCAATAACCATCGTCTGATTACAGTGTTCTTGGCGATGTAAGAATTTAAAATTGTTTTGGTTTAACAACAACAAAGACGTCACCGAATGCGCATACAAGGATAATGAAAACATAAAAAAGAAACTTCCTTGACGTCATGCCTACGTGAAATTTAACACATAACCAATGGACGGGGATTTTATGCGGAATGCATTCTGCAGCAAAAGGTTCCTCAACTTCTTTTGGCGTTGGTGTTCTAAGAAATGCCATGCCATTCATTTCAAGGCTTAATTCATTTACAGGCTATAAGTCTGTAACCTGATCAAGTTTGTTTGTCGATTGGTTAGCAAACATAATTTCCTTTTGTCTAGAGATGGCTTACGTGCAAACTGCACGTAGGCCACCAGATTGACAAGTTGTCTAGCCTAGCCTAGACAAAGCGACAAACATATTTCGTTGTACTGTACAAAAATATGTAATTAGATCTATGTTCCCATGATAGTAGCTGTGGCGTCCATCAGCACCCGTTATACAAGTTTTTCTTTGGAGATTGATACAGATGACATTGGTGTTACTATCACCATCAGCAGCAGCATCAAAGACATCCAGTCATCAATGTAAACCACCACTACTGGCAGATGTTACTCTAGGTTTAGTTTTAAATAATCAATGAAAATCATTTAGGGTTTAAATTAAGTGTTTAACATACCAGAAACGTTTTTTTGAATAGGTTTTTCTTTTTTGTTGTTGCTAAAGTTTACAAATCTTAATCGTTTATTTAGACACAAATGTTTGTTGAATAGCACGCATAGAGGCACAGTGGGTGGATATTTTATGACGAGGGAATTTGGTTTTTGTGTGGGAATGACCCAAACAGCAAATTATATATCAATTCTATATGACCTGGAACAATTTTTGTAGGAGCGATTCCCGATCTCCAACTAGGACGCAATTTTTAATTTGGGCGCCATTCCAAGTGCCATTATTTGAAATTGTAAAAATTGTTATTATTCGATAGTGGGATGTATGAAGTTAGTAAAAATGGAGCGCTAACGCATTAGCATTTTAAAATTGTTTTACCAAAATTGTGAAAGTTTTGCGGATACAGTTCGCAAATCAATCAATCGATCGATCAATTTGGGGTCACAAAAATGATCCAAAAGAGTCAACTGTAAATATATCAATGGATAAATTTGCCGAAACTGCTAGTGATGTAAAAACAACAGTTCGATCGACCGAAAATATCGCAGCTGTACGTGATGATGTCGCTCAAATTCCGTCCACCTCTATTCGACACCGAGCTCAGCAAATTGGTGTCCCCAAATCCACTATGCAGAGAATTTTGAGGAAAGATTTGCATCTTCAGGAAGTGAAACCAGCTGACCATGGATAGCAAAGGGAGTTCGTTAATTCAGTGACAAGGCCTGGACTGATTGCTTCGTCAATAGACAGAAATGTCGCATTTGCGACAAGAAAAATCCTCGATAATTTACGAGAAACAAATACGTCTTTAACGTGTCACTGTTTGTTGTGGTTTTTGGTCTGGAGGAATCATTGGACCCCTTTTTTTATTGAAAATGAGGCAGATCAAGCCCAAACAATCAATATTGTTCGGTATCGTGAAATAGTAATCAGATTTCTTTTGTGAAGGGCATGTGGTTTCAAAAAGTATTTCGAGTTTTGGGGACCAGGATTGGCTGCCTAGATCATGCTATTTAACAGCTTTATATTTTTTTTATTTTTGGGTTTTTTTTGAAGCCGATGGTTTATCGACTTCAATTCGTTCCGAAATGAACTAGTTCAACGAAAATACACCTCAAAACTCTCTCATCCGAGAATGACTGGCAGCAGCGAAGTTTAATAGGTCGCATTACTCGTATAGTCAATGAACGAACTAGTTCAACGGAACTAGTTCCGAAAAGAAACTATTGCTACTATGCCCAGTCATCCGAGAATGCCGTGCAGCAGCTAAGGGTAATACGTCGCATTCGATTTCTTATTATTGAGGGTGTTGTATACATGTTTCATGTCGGAACTAGTTTGCTCCAGTCGTTCATTTGATGTCACATTATATGTCTTATAGTCAAGGATGTACTAGATGATGTTTCTTTCCGGAACGAACTAGTTCGAAAAATCCATTCCGTGAAATGAACTATCTGTACTAGGTTCGAATCTTCCGTTCACCTAGTTCTTCACAACACAATCGTTTATTATCCTCTCATCGGAGAGTGTTATCAGCTATAAATAATTTATTGAATTCGATCCCTTATAGTCGAAAATGTATTGGCTCCTTTTTCATAAGTAACTTTCAGATATAGGTCCGACTCTTTGGTTCAACTAGTTCCTTTTGCACCAGTCGCTATTTTTTCTCTTTTTTACCTCGTTCCTTGTATTCCAAATATTCCCATTGTTCATCTGAGCCTTCTTCATGTAAAATTCGTTGTTTTTAAATCCTATGTTTCAAACCTGATCCCATTGCGTCTTTAAATGAACACGAAGAAGCATGAACGACAGAATTAACCGAATGAACTGATGTGTACCAATAAAATAGTGAACTAAAATGAACTATGGAACTAAATGAATTCGATACAGATTAACAAATTAAACCGCTTCTGGAATATTATTGCCCGATTCTGGGAAGTACTATTCGAAGCGCTGATGAAATACAATGTTTTAGAGATCGCAGTATTGATAATAGAGCTCCTAGGGGTTTTTGGAGGGTGATGGTGAGAAAATTGTTAGCATGGATTGCCCCCCAGATAATGGTTCTGACTCATTTCGAAGTGGCTGTAATTTATTATTCCGGTTTTTGGAGGGTGAAAATGAAAACATTTTAGTGGACATTTTTCAATATAAGACCCTGATCTGACAAAGCCCCCATAGAAAGTTTCCGCCCCATTTTGAGTATGTTGAAGGTTATAACCACATACTCCAAGCAAATGGCTGTAATTTGACATTCTAGGCACTTGGATAGTGAAAAATATATCTGCAAAAAATTGTCCATACAGATCCATAGCCTCCATTAATGGGTTCGTCCCATTTTCGGTATATTGAAGGTTTTAGCCGTATTTACCCAATAAAATGGCCCCCGTTTTTTACTTAGCACATATACAAATATCCTGCCTAATTTTCTGAATATTTAAATGTCCCGTATGATCTAAAAATAAGTTTGAATTTTGGGCAATTCTTTTTGGATAAATATTTCTTTAAACCATATTTCTTATTTAAACAAAATGTCGCCCATTGTGCTTAACCACCGTTGATGCACCCAAAATTAACTGCATTCATTCAACACCGCCGCTTGTTTTATTGTGCACCTAATTTGAATATGATTGTTGTCATTGTTGGTATTTGTTGTCATTTATTTGGCTAACTTGTTTTGTTTTCCGGTCGGTTATCAAACAATGAAATCTTGTTTTCCCCCAAATATGTTTTTGGTAGCCGGCTTCCAATCGAAATTATATAATATTCGAATTATAGAATCGACATCAGGTAAAATTAGAAATTGTTATGACAATTGTCTGTCTGGCCATTAACATTGAAAATCAAGTTCAAGTTTAGTGATTTCGGTAAATTAATTAAACATTGTAAATGTGTCATTGAGGTTACGATTATTTGTTATTATCTTTATGTGTTAAAAATTTGGGAAATTAAGGTTTTCTTTAATATGTGGTAGTTATAAAAATATAACTATGCTTGTGATTGTAATTTTATATTATTACAGGTAATTATTTGCCGATCTAGATGTTCCCACAATTGTTCAGTATTTTCTATGAATACCAAATATCCTAAAACAATTTCGTCGGTAAAAAATTCTATGCATCAGAAAATAAGGATCGACATTCCCAAATATTTTCGAATGTTTTGAGAGCATTTCATGTTGGGTTTAACTTGTGTGTGTGTTTTTTTATTAACTTGAATTTCAGATTTAATTTTAAAATTTGTTTCCATTTATCCACTGTTCACAGTATTGTTGTCAATCTATATCAGTTAATCAGAAGTTAGCATCCGGGAATACCATTTTCATTCGGCGATATTAGTCGTTTAAAATGTTGTTAGAAAATTTGATTAGGTGATCTTTTATTTTAATACGGGATGGAACATGAACATGGATGCGTTCCATCTTTGGATTCGATCTAGGTTAGGTAAAATATTACGAAAACTAACGTTTGATTGAAATTTGATATATTCTTTTCGTTTTATAAACGATTTGCAAAGTTTCAAAGTTTTGGGGGAGGTACTAGAAGAAGACCAGTAAGCGGAGCAGTATAGTCGGACGGGGCCGACCTTACGATACCCTACACAACTACGACGGAGTTCTATCTTTCTAAAGAAGTTTATTCCGAGCCTGAGAACTATTTCGTGACATTTGCACCCTCTTGCCCGATTAGAGTTCAACAGCACATCTTCCATACACTGACATATTTTCCGAATATTACTAATATTCAGTACAGCCCTTCTTATTACTTGTCCAGATTGACTTCAGCGTGGGTTGTATGGTGATGATGGGCTTATAACTGTGACCTATAGAATCCAATCCAATTTTTGTCATTTTTTACACAAAAGTCAGGGTCTATTTGACCCGCTAAATATTGACCGATCTTTATCAAAACAGTTATGTCTATTCTTTGGTCCGATCCCATTCTCCATGTAAAATTTCGCGATGTTCAGACCATAATTGCGGCCTCTGGAGCAACCAGATAAACCGTCAAAAATTTAGTATTTGGTCCATTTCATCCCCTAAATATTAAAACAATAGGGGTCTTCATTGGCCAGAACCCATCCTACACGCAAAATTTCGTGAAGATTGGTCCATAACTTTGGCCAGTATCGTGTTTACAAATTATAATGGACAGACGGACGGACGCACATGTCTAGATCGACTCAGCTAGTCGAAATATGACAATTGGTATACAAACTCTTGGGGCTGTACAAAGCTATAATACCCTGACAACATAGTTGTGTAGGGTATAAATAGCAATAGTTTGATTTGAATCGGATGCTCTGTTCACATGATATTATAAAATGCATTTTCAGTACAATTTTGACAATTTAGTGGGGGAGGTTCCAGTAGGAGTGGACCGATTTTCCCCATATTGGAACATAATTTGAATGAAATGTTACTATGCGGACAATTTGGATCCAATCCGGATTACATTATAAATATTGAGAGTTATCGTACGCATCAGCCAGACACATGGACGGACATTTGTAAATCGACTTTATATTGTCTGAAAGGGATTTGCTCTAAATAAGCCATAAGGCTCAGGGTTTAAAATTCAATTTTTTTTGAAACCGAGAATGGGGTATCCCCTTGGTATTGCTAATGTCCTATGTCGGATGAGAGTCATAGGTTACAGAGTTTGGAGTTTGACATAGGTCACCGAGGACATATGTATGAATTGATGTACCCAATAAGAACTTGTTGTACCAAATTTCAGCGAATTCGGTTGAAAACCCCTCTCAAGAACCCCAAAATATCGAAAATTGGGAAGGTACCGTTTGTTTTTCAATTTTTTGTGAAGACATTTCGTACCCAATAAGAATCCATTGTACCAAATTTCAACGTATTCGCTTGAATAGCGCGCTCAAGAACTCCAACATACCGAAAACTAAGAGGTACGGTGGCTATGCCTAAACGTGGACCGATATAGTTCATATTCGATCTTGACATTCCTGGAGACAAAAGACAGCTCTATGGAACATTTTGATGATCTATCATATTTCGTTTAGAGGCTAGTGTGATTATAACAAACACACGAACATACGGATTTCAATGAAATTAAACAAAAAACTTTGCAGAAATTATTTGATAATGTTTTGTCATATCCACCACATGATGCTTACGGCGCATTCACGGTATTTTGAAACTGTGGCTGCATTCTCCTCCAAATTGGCTCATTTTGGGGTCTTGCAGAATATTTTCTATATAGGTCCATATTGTGTCCAATACCTAGCCGAATTTTCAAACGAAGTTGCTAATTTTGCATCCTAGATTATTGCTGAATTTGATACTTCGGTCCAGAAAGTTTTCAATGTAGGTCGATGTGTATTTATTATGGGGGCTATTAAAAACACCATGTCCCCCGTGTACTCAATTCGTAATATAACTTTTTCAATGGTTAAACAACTTATTACACACAATACGAATTTTTTAATAATCTTGTTTTTTGAATCATCATGTGGAGAGTGTAAAAAGTCGGACCGGCTCGAACTTAACGTCGTCTTGAAATGTTCACTGCTATTAACCAAAGGTTTCCATCTAAAATAGAATTGTTGTTGCTTCAGAATTTAGTTGCCTTACGAGTATAACTATGACAATCCAAAATGGGAAATAAAACATAAATTATTAATTTTTTTTTTAATTTTTTTTTACTTTCACAGTTTACTTATTTCTTTCTTGATACATTTTTGATATGTGGTTCCAATGTTCGGGATGATGGTTAGATATATAGATAATGGTAATTGCTTTGCAGCTACAAATATCCCACGTGAATTGTTTCAATAATTAATAAAACATAACAAGAAATGTAAAATAATTTTAAAATTTATATTTTTTTTTAATTTTTTATTTTATTTTTTTATTTTATCTTTGATAGAAGGCTACTGGCGCCCACATCAACATCACTACTAAACCTATTACAAATTCACTTAAAAACTAAAAGTTTTATGCAGACACACACATACTTAACGAGACAGTGGTGCATAACAAAAATGTGTGTATGTATGTAATATGTATGAATATGAATATGTTGCTTATTCATATTCATAATAATGTAAATAAAAATATCAAATAATAATAATATTATTATAATAATAAGCAAAAAATATTTATTTTTAATGAATCATTTTAAGCGCTTTTACTTTTTTGTATGTATGTGTGTTTGTTTGTTTGATTTGTGTGTGTGTGTTTCAAAGAAGAAAAAGTGCTCACCACTAAAACTAATAATGTTTTTGTTTTTTGTTGGTATGTGTTTGTGTGTGAATTGCATCATTGTACCCCTGCTTATAAATTAAATATTTTTTTATGTTTTTGTCGGTTTTCTTGAGAGCGATGTAAATGATCAAAACCCGTATTTCTAGAGAAATTTTACAACAACAGCAGCAGCCCTCAGCCAGCCAAGAAACCTTGGCCATGATGATGAAATTATTTTCAAGCCACGCCACTGTTGTTGTTGTTTTTTTTTCGGCCAATATACAAAATATTTGTTTGTCTTTTTTTAAATAATTATTAAAAAATATATATTTAGATATAAATAAGTATAGTATATACGATATATGTATGTTTGCTATTGGCCCCACACAAATTATAGTCAAATTATAAAAATGATCCCCTTCTTCTTTGTCACGGGGGATATTCTGCTTCCTGCCTTTCTTCAGCGACTTTACTTAAGCTAAAATCATTTTCTTTGAAAGATTTTCATTTTCATCCAATTTTGTGCTCTCTGTACTCGACGATTCGGCATCATCATCACATTCGTATTCTGGATCGGGCACCTCAGGCAAATGTTCATGATGATGGTCGTGTTCAGCATCGGCGACTGAGGGATGGGTACCATCACCATATTTATCCAAGGTACGTTTAACCAAATCCTTTGTGGGTTCTTTACGGTCCCAGCACCAACCCAGCTTGGCGAAGCCATCCAAGAACATAGTGGTGAAATTCAAGGAGTATTTGCCCAATTCAGCTGCTTTGTAATCCCAGGGGAAGACATGATGATAGTTGTGCCAGCCCTCACCCATGGCGACGAATGAAACCAAAACATTTTCTCTGGGGTTGATGCGCCTGTAAAGAGAGAAAAAAGAAAGAAAAACATAAATATAAAGCCCCTCTGTCCTTCTCCTCCGTGTCAACTTACTTATCATAGGGACGTGTACCCCACAAATGGGCGGCACTGTTCACCGACCAGGTGAAATTCAACGAATACACATAACGGAACACACACTGCATAATGAAGCTGATGTACCACTCCTCACCCCAGAAGTAGACGGGAATCACAGTGGGAAGTATGAAACAGCACAACATTTTCAATGGAATGAAATATTTCTCATGGAAACGAACAACAGGATCAGCCAACACATCGCTCATATCCAATTGACGACCACGTCTCAACACTTCAGGATGTTTGTGCATCATCAACCAGCCGACATGAGCAAAGAAAAAGCCACGATTTGAATTGTGAGGATCAGCATCGGTTTCCGAATACTTGTGATGTACTCTGTGATCACGTACCCAATCGTAGAGGCTATTCTGTGGGTGTGAAAAGGGAGAAAAGAGAAAATTAAATTATTAAATTAATAAAAATTAATTTAATAAGCACGGATAGAAAACCTTCTGCAGAGCGTTAATACACAGAAGATAATCTGTAGTTCGTACTCATACAACTCTTCTTCAGATGGAGGAACTTTAATAAGACTTCTTTATATATTCTATTTGCAGAACACCTTCTATGGGTCATATGAAGATCTTCTATATATATGACCCTCAGGGGATCTCGAAAAACAGAATTTCTTCCATATACCGAACATTTTCTGGGTGTTTTCTTCGTGCAGAATATCTTCTTGAGGACTACTATATATTTTGAAGGTCTTTAATAGACACAAAACATTCTGAGTTTTTAAAGGCAGAACTCATTCTGTATTTCCAGAAGACATTCTACAGTTTTTTTTTAATATAGAAGATCAGCAACTAGCCTCCAATAAACAGAAGACCTATCATCTAGAGCCAGAAGACATAAAAAAGGTATTTTAAAAAAATATTCTGTAGTTTTCCTGTATACGGAATTAAAAAAAAAAAATTCTGTAGTTTTCCTGTATACGGAATTCTTTCTACGCGTCTATACAGAGGTCTGCAATAGGCAGAATACCCCCGTTCAGTAGACATAAGACCTCATGCAGGTCTTCTACAGACAAAAGACCACCATTAGGTCTTATATAGACAGACTTATATACAGAGGAACGCCTTCAGGACTTTTATAGATACAAAACCTCCTTTAGGTATTCTATATACAGAAGACCTTCTTCATGTCTCCTATAGGCAGAAGACCTCCTTCAGATTAGACAGAATTCTTCTTTCGGGTCGTCCAAAGGCAGGAGATGTTTTTCAAGGCTTCCATTGATATAAGACCTCCTTCAGGCCTTTCATTGATAGAAAACCTCGTTCAGGTCTTCCATTGATAGAATGCCTCCCTCATGTCTTCTTTAGACAGTATTCCTCTTTCAGGCCTTCTAGACAGAATACCTCCTTCAAGCCGTCTATAGACAAAAAACCTTCTAACTGTATTCTATACATAGAAACCCTCCTTCGGTGATTTTTGGGTATATGTCCTATATAAATGCCCGCTTCTAAGAGCATTTTCAAACCGAAGGGACTATTTTGGCATTCCGAAATCTTGGCGAGTAGGCACTGTCTTCACTGAAATGTTTCAATATAAGTCGATGTTTCTACAAAGGTCAGGCGACAGACCCAACCTAAATTTCCAATCTGAGTCCGATCTATTGTAGGTATTTTGAATGTCCACCTCATGAAGTGGGGGGTATAAAAAGTACGACACTGTAAAACTCAATACTTCTTTGGATAAGATGGCTTGTATAGATATTCCGAGGACGCTTCTCTATATAAAAGTACCGATCAAATTTTGAATGTCTACATCATAAAATTATTCTATGGATCGAATTGTCTCTAAGACTTCTATGGGAAGCCTGGTATATATGTTCCGAGAACGGAATTTCTGCTGAAGGTCTTCTATAGGAGTAATGACTCCTCTAGGTTGGTATTTTATTTTCTTTTCCCAGCAATCTACCATGGATTAGCCCTAATATGAAAGTCCCAATCGATATGTAGGTATTTTCAATATCCACCTCATAGCGAAGCTTTCAAATGTTTGGTAAAATCCAATTTAGCGGATTTTTGTTTAAATTCTTCTATGAACCGTATATGTTCTACAAGCCAACTCTAAGACTTCTTCTGATAGTATGCCTTGTATAGATCTTCGCGATAACGGAATTATTTCAGAAGGTCTCATCTTTCTGTAGACTCTCTGGGTTGGTAAATTGCTACCAAGAATTTACCATGACATAGCCCTCATATAAAAGTTCCGATATATTTCAGATATTTTATATGGATTTAAAACGTTTGGCAGGGTGAAACTTATGGAACTAATATTATTTCTATAAAATTCATTTATGATCCAAATATGTTCTACAGGCCATGTCTACGTCTTCGATACATATTAAGATTTGTAGAGATCTTCCAAAGACGGAATTACTTCCCTAGGTTTTCTATTCGGATAATACCCCACTAGATTTTCTATAGAGACACTTCCAGTTCTTCTGTGGGCAGGTGTCCCAATAAAAGGCTTTCTATAAGAAGTAGGGCAAAGTTCTGCTGTTTAGAGCTCAGAAATTATTTCTTTTTAAAAAATATTTTTATGTCTAACAGTGTGTCAAATCCACATTAACCCATTTTAATATCCATAAAAATAGATTTTGAGATTCCGTAAACAAAATTCTTTGAATTTTTTACTTTTGCAACATCTATTGCCTAACGACAGTAGCAAAAACATAATCTTCATCATTAGGCTGGTCATTAATTTTTATGACAATTTCATAGGCAAATGTCATCATCACCATTACACTGAACATTGTTTTTAATGTCATCCTATAATGGGATTTCTAACACAGTAGGTAATATCGTAACGAATAAAAACTACATAGTTTATAGCTAACACAAAGCATGATTGTTGTTTATGCCTACATCTATTGAAGCGGACATGCATACAGTCATCGTAACTATCATGTCTTGGAAATTAAAAATCATAAACATTTCAAATTGAAATCATAGGCCCACAATATTTTATATTCTTGAAAAAATTGTATTCTAAATGATATTCGGTTGTAATAAGGTCTGACCAATATGAAATACAAATTATGTATTTTAGAGGTAGAAAACTGCCATATAGGCCCACAATATTTTATATTCTTGAAAATATGTATTCTATATGATATTCTGTTGTAATAAGGTCTGACCAATATGAAATAAAAATTATGTATTTTAGAGGTACAAAATTTGCAATATCTTGATATTATTTTCCCCACAAGAAATTGGATCTTTAGGATTTATCTATTTCAATATAAAATTGTTTATTCCCAGATCAACTATTTTTGGCTATAATATTTTTTTCCAATTCCCCTTGAAATCCAATCTGCCTTAGATGCATTTCAGGGACGTTTTCTTTTACTACCCACATATAGGCATACAAATATACCTATTTAAATAATTTAAAAATAAAAAATGCTTGTTTTGAATACGTTTGAACACTTACCTGACCAGCTGCCGTATAGCACAGCATCAATATAATACGCAATGGTAAATTCGCCTTAAACGAACGATGAGTCCAATAGCGATGAGCACCACCGGTAACACCAAAACCAACAATGCCACCCATTAAATAGGCTGTAAAGATATAATTTGAAATCGATATTCAATCAAACCGTTGTTATAAATAAAAAATGTTATAAAAATGAATTTTGGAAACTAGTTGTCTATTAATACCATATAAGTATTTATTACAAACAATTTAAGAAAATATGTCCTTGAAGACATTTTTTAAGAGGTTACTCATAGAGAATAAGATATGTATAAAATCAGTTGCTACATTTAACACACTAGGCTGATGATGTCTAATATTTGGTACAAAACTAAATATAGGTATGTGTGTTTATATGAAATTTCAATTAGATTTTTATAAATAAATTTTAATTTTTCTGTTGACGTTGCATTCATTCATCTCGCTAATGTCTAATTAATTAAATTAATATCATAAAGAACCCAATTTGAAAGTTGTGAATTTCTAACAAAAATAAAATTGAATGGAAAAATTAAGGAATTTGACAAAGGAAAGTAAACCGTTATAATATTAATAAGAATTAATATATAATAAAATACAAAATAAGTCGGATATAAAAACGTAATTTTTCTTCTGAACTAATATTCTGGAATACGGAACATTGGTAGCATACAGAATAATACCCGAAATGAACACCCATATAAATAATGTTATGACGGGAAGTCATCTTCATACGACAATGCTGTAGGACTATCATAAGGCATAGTTCGAAGCCATTTGAATCGAAATTAAAGTAGGATCAACACAGAAGAACTATTAAACAATTTAGGGTACTCCTTGATTAAATTTCATAGGGAGCTGATCCTGAAATTTGTAGTGGCGCCCAACAGCAATTACGTTGATTTGTGAGAGAAAATCGTGTAATGATTTTTACCCATTAGGATTTTACCAAAAAGAGAATTAAAATTTGTATTTGCTAACAGAAAAGTAGACTTAATAGAATATGTCTGGTATGTTGAGATTAGAAGGACAGAGTGCTATGAATAACCTCTAAAATTATGTCCTGTTTGTTGAGTTAGTAGTGGCGGTAAATTACTTTAATATGAATTGAGTAAACATTATTCTATATGTCTCAAACATAGAAGAAATTAATATAGGAAAGGTAAAGGAAACGCCGTAACTTGTGTACATTGTTTCCAATCCATTCTCCATGAATGGCTTTTTAGTTACAAGAAACATACAGAGATTTCCCTGGATATAGGAATATATCTACAGAAGGTTACAAATTAAGGAACATATAGGAGGTATTTTCTAGATAGTCCAAAAATATTGGATTTGCTCAATAAATGTGTTCTGCCGAAGGGTTTCTCCTATATGCCCTATAAAAAATCTGTATAAAGTCGAATGCCTATAGAAATCGAGTAAAACGTATTCTGTCCGTAGAACCATAGGAAGAGATAGTAATAGATATTATCTTATATGATAAATTGTTGTATCCTGGAACGTGAGTACGTGGGTTAAAATACTATCCAAATGTTTTCTGGGTATAATGATAAACATGTCCTCAAAAAATTCCTAGGAAAGGAGTTTATCTCCAGAATATCTAAAGTTGCACTCCATAGTATTTTTTTTTATTTTGTCCCAAAGTACTTCTCAAAACAACCTTAAATGTTGTCCGTATATAGAGGGCCTCCAAATATGCACCGGATTTGTTGAATGATTTGTAACCATTTTAAGGGGACCCCCCCCCCCCATTCTCGGGGTCAAAATTTTTGTTGATATAATTCGAATCTACACTGATTAAAGAATGTCCCTACAAAATTTCAAGTGAAAATCTCAAGAACTCTTGAAGATATATCCGATTTATTGTGTCAGTATCAAGTGACGGCTGAAGGGCTTCTCAAACTTTAAACGCGTTTTGCTCTAAACATTTTTTTGCGAATGGCGGGCACGATAACTCAACCAGTAAGGAAAGTAGTAAAGTCGGACGGGGCCGACTATATGATACCCTTCACCACTATGGATATATTAAACAGGACTATTAACATGAAATTGGATGAAATAAAATATGTGATATTTATCTAAATGTGAATCTACCTATATATCCATAAGTTATATAAATCGACTTCAATCAAATATAAATAGGTTATCTGTTGGGCTATGTCTGTACTTCTAGAAAACGCAACTACGTAATTCTATGCTCAATTTTGTACGTTGTGCAAAATTTGATGTCAACCTGACTAGCATGAAGAGTTTGATGTCCAATTTACTTAAAATCGGGCGAAAATATATATGGAAGCTCTATCCAAATATATCGAAGGATATATAGGGACTTTGGTGCACCATTTACATGAAATCGGACGAAACTATATCTGAATCTGGGCCGATTTTCTCGAAACTGGGCAGACATCATTCTAGGCTCAATTCAGTACGTTATGCCAAATTTCCTGCAAATCGAAAGATATATAGGGACTTTGGGGTACCATTAACATGAAATCGGACGAAACTATATATGGGAGCTATATCTAAATCTGGACCGATTTTCGCGAAACTGGGCAGACATCATTCTAGCCTCAATTCAGTACGTTATGCCAAATTTCATGCAAATCGAAAGATATATAAGGACTTTGGTACACCATTTACCTTAAATCGGAGGAAGATATATACGGGAGCTATATCTAAATCTGAACCGATTTTCACGAAACTTTGCACACATCATTCTAGACTTAATTCAGTGCGCTATGCCAAATTTCGTGCAAATCGAAAGATATATAGGGTCTTTGGTACGCCATTTACCAAAAATCGGCCGAAACTATATATGGGAGCTATATCTAAATCTGAACCGATTTTCACGAAACTTGGCACACATCTTTCGTGGCTCAATTCAGTACGCTATGCCAAATTTCGTGCAAATCGAAAGATTTTCAGGGTCTAAAGTCCGTAAATCGGGCGAAACTATATATGGGAGCTATATATAAATCTGAACCGATTTTCACGAAACTTGGCACACATCTTTCGTGGCTCAATTCAGTACGCTATGCCAAATTTCGTGCAAATCGAAAGATTTTCAGGGTCTAAAGTCCGTAAATCGGGCAAAAATATATATGGGAGCTATATCTAAATCTGAACCGATTTTTCCCAATTTCAATAGGGTTCGTCCTTGGGCCAAACAAATGAGCTGTGCCAAATTTCATCCAAATCGGATCATAAATGCGACCTGTACTTTGTTTACAATTTAACATGGACAGACGGACAGACAGACGGACGGACGGACGGACATGCATAAATCGATTCAGAAAGTGATTCTATGCATATTCTCAAAAGGAACCATGGGTATATCTTGATTATTTTTGCCTGTTACAAACATATGCACAAAGACATAATACCCTGTACCACAGTGTGGTGAAGGGTATAAAAACTAATTACCCAATCGGTTCCAAATTTTGCAACGTTTCTCTCGTATGAACTAGGATAAAGCCAACATAAAACAATAACAAAATTTTTTTGTAAATTATTTTTCTTCTCTTTTAAATCTTCAATTATATATGTGCAAAGTTACAAACCTTAACAAGCATTGGTATTGATTTACAGCCCATTGAAAATCTTGAAAAATTAAAATCGAGAATGGGGGGGTTCCCTTAAATGTATCTTCATAACGCGTCTCTCATAGAAGTCCTGCTCCCTATTTGCAAAAAACTCTAGTAGTCGATTTGCACAATCATCCCTAGATACAAAATTTTTTATCATTAAACAAATTTTGCAATGCAAGACAAAGATGATAATCGCTTGGTGCACACTCCGGACTGTATGGCGGATGCATTAAAACTCCCCAACCAAGCTTACGAAGTTTCTAGCGAGTCACTGTAGATGTGTGTGGCCTAACGTTTCCTGGTGGAACACGACACCTCTCCTGTTGGCCAATTCTGGTCGTTTCTGGTCAACTGAAAATGGTTTAAAACTGTTTTATGGTAGATTTTTATCTCCTGGGCGATAATTTCGATCACTTTTCCCAAAATTTTACATAATTGGCTGTTACAGTATCGGAGCCATAAACACCATTCACAAATTTAACCGCTTGTCTTGCATTTTCGCCTTTGCCAAAGAAAAACTATAAAATGTACCGAATTTTTCTCTTTGTTTACTTCCATTTTAACACCCTGTAACTCACAAATGAATGCAACAAACAAAAAACAGCAAAATAATTGTCGAAATGTCACCTTTCCAACGAGCATAAATCTGAAATTGTTTCATCGATATTTTACGAGAAATTTATCAGTGCAGCCATCTGTATTTCCCCAACCTAATATTTTCATAATTGCATTTATTACATAATTTCATTCGGTTGCAAACAACCGCCGACTTTCCACTCACACGATTGTGAGTAGTTTTGAATTCCATTGTTTTTTGTACTTCAGACACTCTTACCGACCTCTGTATAGGTGGTACGAAATTCGCATATGTATTTTCCAAATTATTTCGTTATAAATGCTAAATACAATGTTGGTTGTAATGGTAGCTTATTATCAGATCGTCTGTTTATAGAAGAACTAATGATATATTTATGCGACCCCTAAGAAGGTAGTTCTTCAGTCGATAAATGGTATTCCAAATATTTCAGACATATAGAAATTCTTCTGTCAGTAGATATTCATATAAATATATGTATATGATAAATGGATTGGTTTGTTAATAAATATGTAGGATAGAGAATATAGCTAGTTATTCCCAAGATTCATTTACTACAGGGTAAATGTAGAACTGTAGAATAAAAATGGGACATGGGACATTTGTGTCATTAATACCTTGATTCTAGAATTAAAAATCATTCTGTATATTCTAAATATTTTGAAAAAGATATTGGATTTTTTTTTTTTTTTTTTTTAAATTTGTTTACTCCTCGTAAATTACGATCATTCCTACTTCCGGGTTTAATAGCTTTTGATTTATCATAAGTCCGAGGTTAAAATTTGTTTACATTTATTTCAAATCTATTTTTACTTATTTTATCCTAATTTTTTTCTAAATATTTTTCCTATGTGAATCACAATAACTGGTTTAGTGGAAACAAACAAAATACGTATTTTGAAAACGAACTAATGAAGGCTGTTTGT